CAAGTGCCGTAAAACTCTTACAAAAACAACACAAACAAAAGCCACCCACACACACGGGACTACAAAGCCCAAGTAGAAGTGTTCTATATTTGTCCCAAGTTTCGGGTTTCCTTGAATGTCACGTGCTGTCTACCTGGGCCGTCACAGATATTGAACTATTTTCTACTTCAAATAATGCTGTGTCAAAATTTCATGACCGTTTTGAAAACTTTTCAGACGTTATCGAGTTTAATTGTCTAATCGTCCTTATATACTCAGGGGATCACAAACTGAATGAATTTTGATTTTTGCATTGGCCAGATATAGATGAAATCGTCTGTAGGTTTGTTTCTGAAAAAATCAATCCTTACAGCCCCTGTCGTTTATACGGTCGCTGTTTTGAGAGAATCGAAGGTAAATTTTTGCCCCTTGTTCAGTTTCTTTAAAAGACTAGGAGAGTTTTCTCTATAACCAAACTACAATAGATATACTCACCAATGATAGCAAAGTTTTCCTATTGATAGAGCAATGCCCACTTTTGGTGTAGTTCAAGTTTTCTGGAAACCCCCGAAATCTGGGCTAGCCCGCTTGTCCATAAAAGCGACCATTTTATTTCCCCTCACGAGTTTGACCTCACTCCCAGGCCCAGCCAGTTGTGAAATGTGCTGACAAAATGAGTTATTTCTTGGATTCGAGCCTGTGGGAATAGACACATCACGCTTATTGGTGAAATATTTCTTAATTTGTAAGTATGAAATAATATTTAAAAAAACAAAACAAACATGTTAATCTTAAAGAATATGGCAGCAAAAGAAAATCTGCAAATTTGACCCAAGTGTCGATTTTGGGCCCAATATCTCCACAATTTGTGGATTGCGAGAAGTCACTCATTTTGTCAGCACGCCTCACTCACAATTACATTGTCCTCACATGAAGACCACTGGCTCAAACCCAGTTAGTTATTTTTACCGTAATCTATGCAATACATGTAATTATTTTATCTCTGAAAAAGTTCTACTTGTTCACTCCTAAATTATATTCAGACAAAAGCAGAATAGAGATTTTTTAAAAAGTGTCCGGTTGTTGTTTTTTGTTGTTTCTTTTTTTCTTTAGTAAGTGTTTTACGGCGCTCGCAACTGCATAATACGGGGTGCCCACTACGGATGGGATCGGCCGATTGGGCCGATCGCCCGACTCAGTCGTCTCAAAAACAAACGTGTTTGTTTTCAGTTCCAGGC